GAAATCAGGGTCAGGTCAAAATGTCTGACATAGCATTACTTATAGTTGTACTCAAAAGTTTGCTTATCCTGGCAGAAATTGAGAAATTTTGGCATTGATTTTGAATATATGACTGATCATGCCACACAGAAGTCACTCAAATGGCCCTGATCAAAAGTTTACATACCCTGGAATGTTTGGCCTTTGTAGACACACATTATAACTCCCCCCTTTGATCATTACTGATCACAAGTATTCGTTCCTTATACACAGGTGTATCAAGGAAGGCATAAATTGTTCAGCGTTTTAAGCATTCATTCCTTATACACAGGTGTGTTAAGGAACGTACAACCCTTGTATAAATGATGACCAACATTTATCTACATTAAAGTCTTGACAAATGGTGTCTCTCATTTATCTACATGAGAGTTCTGATAATATGCACTTAAGCAATCACTAGATTGCACTACTCATATGACTGTATTTTTTTCCAAACACATATAACATAAATGCAGATGTTTCAGTAATATTAACCATGATCATCAGGAAGGGATATTCCCCTCATACCACTCCCCCCTTTGACCACGGGTGACCCTTATTTCATCCACTATTAGGGGAATAACGCAGCATGATGGCTGGAAGTGGTGAACCCTGAGATGTTCCATTCACCTCTGATTCTCCTCATCTTACAGCACAGGCATGGTCCTCCACTATTCCACATCCTTTTGCTTGCCTTGTTCCCCACAAGCAGATGGTACAAAATCCTCCTTACTAACCTTACTGAAAGGTTAGTAAGCCATCTGAGCCATTGGGAGCATAAAAGTCTAAACACCTGCGTAACAAGGTAATGGAACTTTATAAAGAAGAAAAAGATATAAACGGATATCAAAAGCCTTAAATATGCAAGTCAGTACTGGTGAATCACTTAAGAATTTGAACATTTGGGGATCTCTTGATACCAAGTCAAGGTCAGGTCAGGTAGACCAAGGACTGCAGCCACAACTGCCAGATTTATTCATGAAACAAAAAAAAAAAAAAACGCAAAAACAGGTAACTTCAGAAGAAATACAGGCTACTCTAGAAAAAAAAATTATGTGCTGGTTTCAAGGAGCACAACAACGATATCTGAATAAAAATTAGCTGCATGGTCGAGTTATCTTTGCTGCACCAATACCAAAAAAAGCCTGAATACAATATGCCTGACAACACCAGGACATGCTTCACAGCTTCTGGCACACTGGAATCTGGAGTGATGAGACCAAAATAGAACTTTATGGTCACAAGCATAAGCACTACGTTTAGAGAGAGGGGAACAGCAACAAGAATACCATCTGCACTGTGAAGCATAGTGGTGGTCCACTGATGTTTTGGGGGTGTGTGAGCTCTAAAGGCACAAGGAATCTTGTAAAAAATTGATGGCAAGATGAATGCAGCACGTTATCAGAAAATACTGGCAGACAATTTGCATTCTGCTGCATAAAAGCTGCACATGGGAAGCTCTTGAACTTTCCAGCATGACAATGCCCCTAAACACGAGGCCAAGTTGACCAGTGGTTACAGCAGAAAAAGGTGAAGGTTCTGGAGTGGCCATCAGAGTCTTCGGACCTTAATATCATTGAGCGACTCTGGAGAGATCTCAAAACGTGCGGTTCATGCAAGATGACCAACGACTTTGCATGACCGGGAGGCATTTTGCCTAGACAAATGGGCAGCTATACCTCTGTAAGGGCTCGTTCACACTTGGCTGTTTTACCAACGCTTGCCAAACGCCCCTATAGCATTTGGAAAGCGTTAGTCCGGTGTTTGCGGAGCGTTTTTTAACACTCCGCAAATGCCACATGTGCGGTTTAGCGGAGGTTGCTAGGCGTTTGCCGAGCGTTAACGCCCCACAAATGCCTATAATGCAGTTTGAGTGGTGTTACAGCTCCGCAAACGCCCCGCAACCGCACCGCAAACGCCGGCCGGATGTTTGCGGAGCGGCACCATAGACGAGAATAGGAGGCTTCAACACCTCCTGACTCGACCAGAGGCGTCAGTTTTGCCGCGACGCGATGCAAACGCTCCCGTTAGAACAGCACCATGTGCTGTAATGTGCAGAATTGGCAGAGGCGTTTGGGAAGCGGTAAAAACGCTTCCCAAATGCCTCTCTGACGCCTGCACACAATGCTAGTGTGAACGTAGCCTAATAGTTGCCTGAGGCCCTGAATTCTTGCAAAAACTGTACAGTGTCATTGATGCTAAAGGGGGTAATACACAGTATTAAGAATTAAGGGTATGCAGACTTTTGAACAGGAATCATGTAATTTGTTGACAATGCCAGTTGCCATGTTTTGTTTTAGGATTGTGCCATTCTGTTATTACCTACAGCTGAATATGAATTCCATATGAAATAAATAAATGTATTTTGCCTGCTCACGCATGGTTTCTTTAACCACTTGCCCTCCTGAGGATTTACCCCCCTTAATGACCAGGCCTCTTTTTGCTACTCGGCGCTGCACTAATTCAACTGATAATTGCGCGGTCATGCAATGCTGTACCCAAACAAAATTTACATCCTTTTTTTTCACACAAATAGAGCTTTCTTTCGGTGTAATTTGATCACCTGTGCGCTTTTTATTTTTCACGCTATAAACAAAAAAAGGCCAAAAATTTTGAAGAAAAACAATATTTTTTACTTTCAGCTATAAAAAAATATATAGTAAACTCAAAGTTGGTTATAAATTTAGGCCAAAATGTATTCTGCTACATGTTTTTGGTAAAAAAAAATCCCAATAAGTGTATATTGATTGCTTTGTGTGGAAGTTATAGAGTCTACAAACTATGGTATAAATACTGCAATTTAGTCCATTTTTCTGCTATACAGCGCTGTGCTAGTTTAACGGACAATTGCGCGGTCATGCAATACGGTACATAAATGAAATTTACATCCTTTTTTTCCCCACAAATTGAGCTTTATTTTGGTGGTATTTGATTGCCTGTGCGGTTTTTATTTTTTGCGCTATAAAAAAAAAAAAAAGGCTGACAATTTTGAGGAACAATACAAAACAATATTTTGGACTTTTTGCTATAAAACATGTCCAGTAAAAAAAAAAAAAATGCAAAAATCAAATTTAGTTATAAATTTCTGCCAAAATGCATTCTGCAACATGTCTTTTCTAAAAAAAAAAAAACCCAATACGTGTAAATTAATTGGTTTACGTGAAAGTTATAGCGTTTACAAATGGTGGGAAAGATACTGGGACTTTTAGGTTTTTTTTTTTTATACTAATAATGATCAGCGAATTATGGCGGCGATCAGGGACTTATGGCAGAGACCAGCGACTTATGGCGGGACTGCGGCGGACATTCTGACATTGGGGGGTACTGACTTGGGGTCACTGACATCCCCAAAAACACTAATACAGTGATCAGTGCAAAAAAAAAAAAAAAACACTGACACTGTACTAATGGCAATGGGGAGGAAGGGGTTAACTTTATTTTGCAGGGAAGGGTTATAGGAGTGAGGGGAGTGTTTTACTAGGGGGTGGGGTGTGTACTGGACGGGACAAGGCTGATCGAGATAGAGAAACTGTTCTTTCTTAGATCAGCTCATCCTCGAGCTGACAGGGAAGTGACAGACAGCACAGCTACTGCAGCTGTGCTGTCTGTCACTGTTTGCCGCCGATCGCCGGGAGATAGCCGCTAAGGACTGGCTGTGACCCGGCGACTCACATCTGCGGCAGTGATCGGCGGGACAGATAGGGCGGCGGCGCGCCCCCTATTTGTTTACAAAACACACGTTTTAAAACGTGGTTTTGCCTGCCAGTGCCGCCCTGCCGCCGTATATCTACAGTGGCTGGGCGGCAAGTGGTTAAAAATTGTACTGTATATTACCAATTCCCCAACGGTATGCAAACTTTTGAGCACAGCTGTACATTAAACCGACAGCTAGGAAGTAAACACTATTTTGATGGAGTGGTCAGAAATATGGCTTCTTATGTTATAAAGAGGCATATACTGTATGTAAGTAGCAGAGAAAATATAGGTACAAGTTAAATGTAAATTACATAATGTATGTAATGTTTATATTCTTAGGAACCATATAATAATTTAGACAAAGAACTTGATTCTACACATTGTTTTACTTTACAGTTCAAGAATTAGGATTGTTTTTACATTGCTTCATCATTAGGAAAAAAATTACAAGGCCGATATTGTGCATTGATGGAATCTAGACTTTGGCTTTATTTGAAAATTTGTATATATGTTACATGGCCATTTGCCAGACACGAGTTAATGCACAAAAGGTGGAGGTAATGAACAAGCATTGGATCATAAGGAGTTTAATATGTATGTACATTATCACTACAGAGAGCAAGTGCTTCAAGCAAACCTACAGCAGAAATAAAAGTTGTTCCTCACCGAGTAATACTAACATTCCAAAGAAAAAGAAATTCCGAAAAACACACTGTTCTATGTGACAGCATAGTAGGGTATATCGGAAGCAAAGACCAGGTGTGGAATTGTTGCCAACAGTATCCAAATCATATTCATAGACTGTGCCCACAGTAACCAGGTTTAAGAGGTTCAGGTTGTAGTGCAGATTAGAATTACTAACCCAACTGAATGCTACTTACAGCATTCTTATCTAAAAATAATGCCTAAACATTCCAGAAATATCATGGGTAATACAAGTACATAGAAGAGCAGGAGTCAGAAATGCAAAAGTCCTGTACATGAATTCCAAACTATTTTCTGAGCAGACCAACTTGTGAACAGTAACCAAACACTGGGTTGGGAAGAAGCAACTCACATGCTAGCTATAGGTTTGCTAACTGTTTTGAGTGGACACTGTTTATATTGAAAAATACCAAATGTAAAAATACTGCCTATGTATATGTGAAGTGACAATGGTTTCCAATCCAGCAACTCAGTTTAAATACAAACCACTTTCAAAATAGATTCAAGCATTTAATTAAAACCTAGACAAGAAAAAGAAAATAAACACAAAATTTCCAACTCCGTAAATTGCTGGTGCACCATTAGATAGGCAACTGAAATTTGACATCCACTTGCGCTTGTTTTGCCAAGGTTACAATTTCTGACAGTTTGACAACCTATGGAAAAAAATAAAAAAAAATAAACATCATACATCGCATGTATCAGATGCTACTTAGAACTGCAGTTCAGACCATAATCAAACAGGACGAAAGACATGCTAGTTGTAGCTGCTTTTATATCATGTTTGATATTAAGTTTGCTGCAACATTACTAGCATGCAGAGTGTATAGGTGCAACTTATCCATCCAACACATCCATAAATAAAGATATTTTAATAACTGTGGCCAATGGTAGACTTTATCAAGGCTATGCAGACTTGCAGGCATGAGTCTCAATTCACTTAGGTGTCTAGTCTATGGGAGCACCTATCTGAGTCCAGTGCCCTCAGGGCACATTGCAGGTCAATCCCATTTCTTCCTAGCAGGCTCTGGATACGGTCTTTGTAGCAATGGTGAAGATAACTGATCCAGAAAGCTGCAAAATGACCCCTTCTAGCTCTGAAGTAATTATAGAAACTTGCTAGAAGGAAAAATAAAAATCTTGATAAAAAGAGAATGCTTTCTGCTCTCATAGCAGAGAGAAAACCCTGTACTCCTAAGGACACTAGAAAAGGCATGCTGGGAGGAGAAGGGTTTATACTGGGCTGTCCATACACCTTTGTTTTGCCGATGTACAATCTCCTCATGTAGCAGCATAATTTAAATAATGAGCCTGTGCCCAGTACTGTATAATTAAGAAATAATGATCTTAATGGCTTACACATGCAATATAGATTAGTGAATTCAGCCTATTGACTTTTATTAATTTACCCAGACAAGACAGGGCTCAACTGACATATGGCCAATCCCGCATACAAATGATTTTTTAAATATGCTAATCCATAAAAAGGTAACAATTTTCTATGCTAAAAAAAAAGAGTAATTCCTTTGAAAAAAAAAACATGAACACAGATTGCTTACAACTGTTTAAATTATCTTAAGGTAGAAAACAGAATTGGGGAAAAAAATGCTAACCTGATGGGAAAAATAGAAAAAAAATGCCAGTTCTACAGCAATTTTTCCTGGCAAAGGCAACTTAGGTCTATGGAATGCACACCAATAAAGGGATTCTAATCATGGAACAGAGATGAACCTCAGTGCTAGATCAAATACACAGGGCTTTTTAGTATGGAACCGCGCCCCATCCCTGGCGTCCGTGGGAGGAACAGCGCCCCATCCCTGGCGTCCGTGGGAGGAACAGCGCCCCATCCCCTGGCGTCCGTGGGAGGAACAGCGCCCCATCCCTGGCGTCCGTGGGAGGAACAGCGCCCCATCCCTGGCGTCCGTGGGAGGAACAGCGCCCCATCCCTGGCGTCCGTGGGAGGAACAGCGCCCCATCCCTGGCGTCCGTGGGAGGAACAGCGCCCCATCCCTGGCGTCCGTGGGAGGAACAGCGCCCCATCCCTGGCGTCCGTGGGAGGAACAGCGCCCCATCCCTGGCGTCCGTGGGAGGAACAGCGCCCCATCCCTGGCGTCCGTGGGAGGAACAGCGCCCCATCCCTGGCGTCCGTGGGAGGAACAGCGCCCCATCCCTGGCGTCCGTGGGAGGAATAGTGCTTCGTATCAGTGGGAGGAATAGTGCTTCGTATCAGTGGAAGGAAAAGTGCCCCAGGGGCTGGATAAAAGCAAGCAAAAGGGCCACATCTGGCCCGCAGGCTTGGAGACCCCTGATCTAGGCCAAAGAACAAAATGTAATATAATCCTTATAAGTGGTGGCTGCACTGAATTGTCAACCCCCTCAAAAAAAAAAAAAAAAACCCACACATTTTTACTTACCTAGGTGGATGCAGCATGGATTCGATGCTCTGCAGTGCAAACTGAGCAAACACTGCTGATCGCTCAGTTCTCCCCTCAGCCCTGAGCAGACAGCCATGACTGTGTCTCCGTCTCTCAACCTCCAGTGCTCACTGGAACACTGGGCTGTGGAGGGGGCAGGAGGGGCTGGGTTAGGATATTTTCAGAGCCTGAACAGGCTTAGTGATGTCAGCCGACACCAGGCTTTAGCCCACTGCTGGCTGAAAACGGGTCACAGGAGTGCAGAACGAACTGCACTCCTGTGACCTGCAGGAAAAGTATAGCCAAAATTGCTTTGTTGTTTTCTTAAAGGAGAAGTAAAGCCAAAGCTAACCATTTTTAATCTATATCTAAATACACAACATTGTTATATGTCAGGAAAAACCTCAGCACAATTCTTCTACCACTTGTACCTAAGATTGTCAGAAATGAGAATATATTGACCTCTGCATGACTTCAACACTTATTAAATCACTTTAAAATACACTTCAATAGCTTTGATGTCCTTAGAAATAAAAGTCTAAAACTTTACTTTTTCCAACTCTTTTGCTCATGTTTTCACCACAGGGAGCCTATACAGAGTTTCCAGTGGCACTATGTTTAGAAAGAAAAAGTCATCTTTCTATCAAGCTGGAGACAGGCCAATTTAAAAAACTTTAACCCTTTTACATCACTGAATTTTTCCACTGGGTTTTTCCCAATGCAAGCAGCAATATAAATATAACATCAATACAGGCTATAGTAATGATGTTTTTCACATAATAAATTGAACCTAAGCTCAGAAAGTGATGTGCTTTCTTATAGAGAATATCTTGATATGTTAAATTGTCAGAGGAAGCACGTTGGTTCCATAGATTCTGGGGAAGTGCCTTTGATGCTGGTGCAGAGAACAACAGTTTTCATGTCCTAGATTTTGTGGCATATCTCTCTCTCAATAGACGTTTTCTGGCCAGGCTTCATTGAAGCCACCCTGGGCCTACAAGAATATCCTTTAAAAACTGAGCTTAATTTGTTCTCCACTGAACAATGCTTTGAAAAATGCATGTGCACCACTACTGTATATTTTAATACAAAGGCGAACCAACCCTTTAAGTGCATCTACAGTATTTTTACTATTATTTTTAAAATGTGTATAGCATCCATTGTATTTTACTTTGTTTTTTAAACACATATACTATTATCCACTTACATTGAATCTGGTATCGCATTTCTTTGAATATCATTGCTAAATTCTCACAGAGGATTACAAATCATCCTGCATAACTGAACGTCATCAAATCTAATAGCTGTATAAGTTGTTACCTTGAAAACAATGTGAATATTATGTTGTGCCTGGCTTGAATTTAATGAGGTGTGTGGACCTCTTGGATAAAATAAAAGTGAGAGTTGAAAACAAAAACAGCCTGAAATGTATTCTGTCTCATAGCACCAGGATAAAGCATGCATAATGAACACATGCCTGGCTTATTAAATGTAAACTAAAGAGATCAGTTTGATAGCTTGGCTATTAAAATGTACTGTAAAACAAATGATTTGTTAGGGAACATTTGCTAGTAGACTGATATAAATGACTTTTAAATAGGAAACCATAACATTTAAACGCATCAAGGTATAAAATGGCTTTAAAAAACAAAGCAATCAAAGCAATCGAAACTGAAAATCTATCGTAAAATATGTCCTAAGCCAACCCGAATTACATGGTATTCACTCAATTAGGCTTGCGCATTTGCATTTAAACCTGCATCTGTTCTTTCAGGGTCAATAGAAGAAAATTATATTTGGTTAGCATTCAGCATACTGATTACAACATATGTTCTTCTTTGACAACAAGAGAAGAACAGATATTTCCAAATAATTGTTAAAAAAAGCAGATAACTTTTCTAGCCATTGCAGAAAACAAAATAACTCATAATCAACCCAATACGTTTCGATCAAAGGCACTTTTCAAACTTACCATTTTTGCAGCTTCATCCAGATCATCACATGCAAGAATCTTCAGCCCACTGGCTGTTATAAGTGCTTTAGCATCATCGACCCTTGTACCTAAAGAAAAGGGGTAAGGTGTGAGTGGAATTTTATACATTTAAAGGGTATTAGATCAAAAGGGCAAACATTTATTATATTGCAGCTTACCAATTTTTAGATGTGGTGGCTGGACCAGTTTTCTTTTTTAGGCTTTCTTTAATTTTTTTTTACCTGGTGATCTGGCCAGTAAGTCTGTTTTTCAATGGGGCAGCACAGTGGCTAAAGTACTAGGGTCGTTGGTTCGAATCCCAGCCACGGCACCACATGCCTGGAGTTTGCAGGTTCTCCCTGTGCCTGCGTGGGTTTCTGTTTCCTCCCACACTTCAAAGACATGCTGGTAGGTTAATTGGATACTGTCTAAATTTGCCCTAATATGTGTATGTATGAATGTGAGTTAGGGACTAGATTGTACACTCCTTGAGGGTTAGGGACTGCTGTGAATGTACAATATGTAAAGCACTGCGTAAATTGACAGCGCTATACAAGTACCTGAAATAAATAAACAAGCTCTCTTCCAGATGCAGCAGTTACACAGTTGAGACAAATCATTTACCACTTATAGGTGTGCTTACAATGATCAGCTCTTATTGATGTAAACACTTTATCCCAAAAGGAAATAAAACTGTTGCTGTAACTGCTTAAAAAGTATTAACCAGAGTATGGTTTCAATGTGTTAGTGCATCTAAATCCGCTAGTCCATCTAACACTCCCCTCCCTCCATACTGACAAATCTGCTGTCCAAAGGTGCCCCTGTGCTCCTTCATCCAGAGACACCAATACTGGAGGCTTATTACTGGCCAGGTGACCAGGTGAAAAACAGGGGGGGGAGCCTTAAAAAAGAAAACTAATGCAGCCACCACATCTGTTGATTGGTGGCTGCATTAGACTGCTTAAGACTGCTTGCTTAGACTATCATGGGGAACATTTTAGAGAGTAGTGCGTGGTGTTCGGCAAGGTTCAATTCACTCTTCTCCTTGCTTGCTCTACATGACCACGAGTAGCGGGTGTTTGGGGGGGGTAGGGAAGCTGAGGGTTAGGTTTCTGCAATGCTGTCAACATATACAGGTATATTATGGGAATAGATTCACCTCTTCTTAAGAACTTGTTGCATAAAGCAAGATTAGCTTTTACTATATTTTTATACTTTTTTTTTTCAAATACTTTGTATATTTTTTTATATTTCTTTTGGGAAAATCCTAATTATTAAACTATAAACTTTACAGGATTCCTGTACAATGAAGGAAAATGCCAGTACCCTCCTTAAGAGAGGGGTTTGCGAGATTGGATAGAGCCGTGGAAATGGAGGATTTGATCTACACTAATAAACATGCAGAATTTACCAATACATGCTAACCTCATTTCAAATCGAAGCCAGATTATGTTAACATTCTGTCCTGGATAAGGATAGTCTTTTTGTCCCTAATTTAACTACTACTGTGTAGCTCCCTAGGAAGTGCATGCCCTACTGTGACCTGCGGAAGGGGAGCACTGTCCACCCCGCCCCCCCATACTTCCCCTTCCTTTTTTTTTTCCCTCTTTCCTCTTGACCCTGAAAACACTTTTATATGTGTATGTGATATCTCATACAGGTTCATTGTATTGACAAGAAGCCTATACTTGTGATTCTGGACGTACCTTGTAATCTGTACTGCAATTTTACTGTTCTTGAAAATGTTCAATAAATATTATAGAAAAAAAAAAAAAAGGATACCTGTAATGGGAGGAATACATCGGCTGCCAATGCTGACTGAAAATACTAGCTGCCTGGCAATCTTTGCCTTTTAAACAGTCTAAGACATGAATAAGTCATGATATGCCAATCATGAAAGTGAGAGTGAAATCAAAGCTTCTAATCTGGTGGACTATGTCCAACAATGCCAGCGTGCATACTTTCTCAGTAAAGGTTTTTATTGATACTAGGGCAACTGAATTTACTGAAGCATCTCATAGTAAATCTCAAAAACACATACTATGCAAGAAAGCAGACAAAGGAATACAGGCTAATTTCTAAGACCATTTTAAATGCACAGTAATGCATGTATTTAATATAAATGATATAATTTACACTGCGTGTTTACCTGCATTTATGCACAGTTTAGCTGGGTTTAGAGAAAACAGAATTCTGTTTGTTCAGGGACAGATCAGATACTCTGAATGCATTTAACCTCTTGCGTGGCCCCCGCCTGCAATGTACTGCGGACAGGCGGCCCGCACAGGCAAAGCAATGTACCCATACGTCACTCCCTGTTTCCAAGCTCTGGGTGCGCATGCACCTCCAACCTGCCTACTCGCTCTATTGGTGTGGTCGTACACAGCAGAAGACTGTCGGTAAGTCCCAGCCAATGATTCACGGCCTGGAACTGCTAATCAGCTGTGTATAATCACACTATCACAGTCCCATTATAAGTCGCTGATCACCACCATTAGTAGCATGATAAAAAACATTTTAAAAATCATGTATGTGTGTATACACACACACACCACAGTTTGTAAGTGCCATAACTTTCATGCAGACCGATCAATATACACTTATTGGGTTTTTTTTTTTTTAATCAAAGACATGTAGCAGAATACATTTTGGCCACAATTTATGAAGAATTTATGAAGAAATATTTATATATAAATATACTTATATTAATTGGATGTGTTTTGTAGCAGAAAGTAAAAAAATATGTTTTTCTTCATAATTTTCTTTTTTCATTTATATTGCAAAAAAACAAAAAACCCAGTAGTGATCAAACACCACCTAAAGAAGCACCTATTTGTATGTAAAAAATTGTATAAAAAACTTTGTTTGGGTACAGAGTTGCATGACCACGCAATTACCAGTCAAAGTAGCGCAGTGCTAAATAACAAAATGGCCTGCTCATAAAGAAGGTAAAATCTTCCGGAGCTTAAGCAGGTAAAACGCATGTAAGTACATTTAAACACAGGAGAATGTGATCTGGGAAAAAAAGTGGTTGTAAACCCTTGAAAGGAAGCATATCCTCCTCCTACAAAGTGTAAGTGCCTCACTCTAACACCTAGTGTGTATCCTGGCTGCCATTTTCTATGCAATCTCCATGTGTCGCTTCTGACAGTTTTCCCAGACACCAGGAAAACCATGGAGATCCCATTTCCTCTAGCACACAGCAGATGATTGACAGCCTCTGTAGTACATGTTTCCCAATGAGACTATGTAGAGGGTAGTGTGTCCATTCCCTCCACTCAGGTGTCAGATTACACTCAGGTCTCTGCTGTGCAGCATGTAATGTCAGATCTCTGCGCCTTGCCTCCTGCAAGATGAGAAATACCATCTGGTGTATTTTGGAGGGCTCTAGAGGAGAGAGGCCTGCAGATAAAGTGGTCAGTTTATGTGGGAAGATTTGCTTCATCACTTCAGTGGACTTTTTAAGAGTTTATTATCACTTTAAAGTTTGTTTTCTAATTTCCAGATCATTTATTCTGCATTTAAATAAACCAAACGCAGGCGGATAGTGTGAATGTAGCCTATAAAAATATCCTCAGTAACAGGTCCTTATTTACTTTTTACTGAAATTACTGATTTGAAAAATAACCTTGGTTCACATTGTCTTCAGAAATCTTAAAGGGTAGCTTATCTTCACACACAGAACTCATTCTTGCACCTGACTTGTAAGCTGATGTTTCTCTGTTAACCTCCAACTGTACACCATTTGTAATTCATCTCTCTGCTTTTACTGCCACTGTCCATATGTCTGTACGTATCTGTTACATGCCTACCTAGCCTACAGCCCAATACTGTAATGCAGAATATAAAAATCCTCTAATAAGACCCAGCGATAAAGGGCATTTAAAAAAAAAAGAAAGAAAAAAAAAAAAATCACATTAAAAAAAAAATTGACAGTAATTACAAAATTATCACAGCAAGTTCTTTTCTGTGTATTTACCAATTTATAAAGCTGCACCTTACAACTGCTCAAGCAATGTAGTAAGAAAAAAACGACAAGACTGAGATTCTTGGGGATTTAAGATGTGTTTTTCCTCATGAGAACAAAAAAGAAAAAAAAAAGAGCCAAGAGGCTTAAGTAAATCAGGTTACCTTGTAAACGGACCACAATGGGTATCCTGAGTTCCAGATCCTTTACAGCCATTATGATTCCTTGTGCAATTACATCACATCTCATAATACCACCAAAAATGTTAACCAGTATAGCCAGTACCTACAGGGAAATAGATTTAAACTTAGATTACACAGGTTTAATTCAAAGGCAAAGATAAACCTACAAAAGCAAGAAAATGTGTTTTTCAAACTAGAAGTACAAATATTTTACACTGGAAATGTAAATGTTCATCAGTTATAAAAGTCAAGTCACAATACTTCATATTCGCTAGTGCTGCTCACATGTAGTACACCATACAACAGACTATACAGTATATTATCATCATTCTACATTTTTTTTCTAGTAAATGTTTACCAAGCTGTGCAGCTTGCTACACCTGTACAACAACCTTTGTGTAAGAAAAAAAGACCTACCTGTATTTTTCGCTCCATAAGACGCACTTTTTTCCCCAAAAAGAGGGGGGAAAATGTCAGTGCGTCTTATGGAGTGAATACGGAGCGGCCGGTGCAGTATTTCCACCGCCGCTGTGTCAGAATACCAGGCCGGCCGCTAAGGTATTTTTCGTCAGTAGAACCTTACCTGTTCCTCGGTCCAGCGCTGCGCAGTCTTCCCGCGCCGGCTTCTTTAGTGTGGGCTCTCGGGTGTGAAAGCCGGGTGCCCAGTGCGCATGCGCGAGAAGCGCTGCGCTTTGTGAATGGCACAGTGTCTTCTGGGGCATAATCCCCCCCCCCACTGACACCAATGATGGGACACTATTTTACCCACTGACACCAATGATGGGACACTATTCCTCTCATTGATACCAAAGATGGGACACTAAACTCGCCACTGCCACCAATGATGAGGCATTATTCCTCCCATTAACACCAATGATGAGGCACTATTCTACCCACTGAAATGATAGAAATCTATCACTCCCACTGACACCAATGATGGGGCTTTATTACTAAAACTGGCACGAACATCGGGACACTATTCTACCCACTGACACCAGTGATGGGATACTATTCCTCCCACTGACACCAGTGATAGAACACTATTCCTCTGATTGATATCAAAGATGGGGCACAAATCCTCCCACTGACACCAGTGATGGGGCACAATTCCACCCACTGACACCAGTGATGGGGCACAATTCCACCCACTGACACCAGTGATGGGGCACAATTCCACCCACTGACACCAGTGATGGGGCACAATTCCACCCACTGACACCAGTGATGGGGCACAATTCCACCCACTGACACCAGTGATGGGGCACAATTCCACCCACTGACACCAGTGATGGGGCACAATTCCACCCACTGACACCAGTGATGGGGCACAATTCCACCCACTGACACCAGTGATGGGGCACAATTCCACCCACTGACACCAGTGATGGGGCACAATTCAGTGATGGGGCACAATTCCCACTGACACCAGTGATGGGGCACAATTCCACCCACTGACACCAGTGATGGGGCACAATTCCACCCACTGACACCAGTGATGGGGCACAATTCCACCCACTGACACCAATGATGGGCACAATTCCACCCACTGACACCAAATGATGACTGACACCAATGATGGGCACTATTTCCCACTGACACAATGATGAGGCACATTCCTCCCACTGACACCAATGATGAGGCACTATTCCTCCCACTGACACCAATGATGAGGCACTATTCCTCCCACTGACACCAATGATGAGGCACTATTCCTCCCACTGACACCAATGATGAAGCACTATTCCTCCCACTGACACCAATGATGAGCACTATTCCTCCCACTGACACCAATGAGCACTATTCCTCCCACTGACACCAATGATGAGCACTATTCCTCCCACTGACACCAATGATGAGGCACTATTCCTCCCACTGACACCAATGATGAGCACACTCCCATATGAAGCACTATTTCCCACTGACACCACACTACCAATGACACCAATGATGAGCCACTATTCTTCCCACTGACACCAGTGATAGGGCACTATTCCTCCCACTGACACCAATGAGGAGGCACTATTCTACCCACTGACACCAGTGATAGGGTACGATTCCTTGATACCAAAGATGGGACACATCCCTCCCACTGACACCAATGATGAGGCACTATTCCTCCCACACAAACGATGGGGCATTGCTTTTTCCCCACTGACCTGGACCCCTTCTATTCCCAATAAGCACAGTCCGACCCACATAAAGTCTGAAGGACAGCAATCAGGCCCTTTGTTTGGAAACCCCTGCACTAGATCATCAATTATTCTTCATTGTTCTGACTGATGGAAAAAAAAAAAGTGATTTGTGAATGGTTAATTGCCATGGATGAATGCACACCATGGCACAATCTTGTACTTTAAATCTACGCCACCGATTGCAATTCCACTGTGGATTAAAAATCATTGTGCGATATGTTTCTGTACTAATCATCTGATCTCCTGTTTAATCAACTCCTTACAACTGAATCTATCTTATACAGCTACTAGGCATTTCTGTGCTTCCTTTACTTTTGCACGAGCGATGCAATAGGGTTTCCCTATTTCAGCTGGGAATTCCTTTGTGATGTCATCATTATGTGATTATGTTGTCTGTGATCACGCTTGTCTGCAAGATGCACATAGTAAGTAGTGACACTAGGGAGTTATCACTTCTGCAATCACATGAAGGTGTGAAAGAGAAATGGGTTACATGCCCAGCGAAAGTCCAGCTCAATACTACATATCCCACTGGGCAGAAAACAATCTCTGTTTTGTGAAAATTGCTTCAAGCTCTATTTAACTGCAGTATAACGGTCTCTTACAATCTGGAATTATTAAACCCCAGATAACAGAACAAGAGATCAAACAATCAATGTTGCATGAAATTTTATCATTATAATGAAAGTAAATACCAAGTCACTCAAACCTGCTACATGTGCACAGTCTTGCATGTCATAAGTAGAATACACAGAACACTGCTGCATATTTCAGAGAAAGGCATATACCTTTTTGTCAGAGGTGATGAGCCTAAAAGCTTCTGTTACTTGCTGAACGGTTGCTCCACCACCAACATCTAAGAAGTTTGCTGGAGTTCCTCCATGAAGCTTTATAATATCCATCGTTGCCATAGCCAGGCCAGCACCGTTTACTATGGAGCAAGGAGACCATATTATATTGGGCACATTAAACATGCATGTGTGAAGGGGTGAGGAGTATGTAATGTACAAAAGTGTCCAGAATACGACAGCCTGAAGAATACCATGTACAGCACAGTGTACGCAGGGACAACCCTGCTATGCCCCTAATACACTGCACAATGAACCACAATACACGCAGCAGATCTCGTACCTAACCTCATGCTGGTCAGAAGGCTTCGTTTTCTTTTTCTTCTTTATGACATAAAGCTGCACCAACTTTCTACACTTCACCTCCCATGTAAGGGGGTGGGTGGGGCTAGTTTTCACTTCCAAGGTTTTGAATTTATTTAAAAATTACAGCAAATTCTGTCTATCCTGTCCTTGACTGTTTTTGTTAAAGAAGAGAGAAAGAAATAAAATTATTCCCCTCCTCCCCATATCTTTCACTGCGGCTATGCAAAACATCTGAACAGTGCCTACATCTTAAAGAATAATTCCAGGCATCGGCATGTTTTACACAGTTTCATTGGTCCAGGTTGATATGGCTATACCATACCTGGCTGATGCTGCTGGAAACTACTTAAGAAGACACCGCTACTTCAGTGATCTCTACTTGCTTCCAGGTCCTGTGCCGAGTGGCTGCATTCTGGATTGTGAACACAGGAGACTGGCCACTCAGCATGTGCGCCATTCAGAGCGTGCTTTCCATTTTCTGAAGGAATACAAAGCCTTCTCTGACTAGACAAAATGGAGAGGCAGGGTGGTGACATTATGCTCTCAACCTTGTCCAATCAGAGAACGTTTTGCCCTCCTATTTCTTCTGTATTGAACTGTATTGTAATTGTACAGTCCCCCTTTATATTGTAAAGTACTGTGCAAACTGTTGGCGCTATATAAATCCTGTATAATAATAATTCATTCAGAAAAAGCAAAGCTGAGTGGCCCATGCTAAGTGGCTGACCTCCTGTATTCACAATGCATCAGGTCAGTTGATCAGAACCCAGAAGCAAGTGGAAATCTCTGAAGTAGCAGTGTATACTTCATGGATTTCCAGCTTTCAGTAGTATTGGCCAGATGTGTCATACTGTACATGATTACATGGTATGCATAGTTACCAGCTTGGACCAATGTAGATGCCTGGAATTATTTTAATAGATGCAGGCATTGTTCTTCTGACATTTGTTTGCTTGGTTTCTCCACTTTTTTTTTTTTTTAACTGAAGGATATTGGGCAGGAAGGTGCTGAAAGGGCCACTCACAGAGCAAACTGTATTTGGTTCCCCAGGAACCAGCTGATGATATTTGCTCTGTGTATGGCCAGCTTTAGTATCAACAAAAAGTGCCAACTTTAGTATCACACCAACAACAGCCACACAAGGAACACTACAGCTGAAGAAGAAGTCTCTAATATGGCAGTACATTGAGAAAAATCAGATTAGGGTGACAGTTTGTATTGCACGTTTAGTATCTAACAGCATTGGTACCACGAATATGTAAATTAACTAATACACTATTACTTAAATGTGCAAATAGTGCAGTGATCACAAAAATACAGATGTAGATGGACTATAACAGCAGGAAGGACAGCAGTCTGGAGCCTGCATACACAGATATGTGTTACCAACAGCTACTGAGAGTCCGATTATATCATACAGTTCAAATAGATAGAGAAAAGAATTCCGGTGTTCTGCATTCTTAGCCAAGTAGCAATGAAAAAAAAAATCATTAACGTTTATGATGAAAGCCCACTACCTAAATGAGCTGAATTGCATGCAGGGAAAAGAATGACAAGAATTATTCATCCATGTTCTAAAATGAGAGGAAGAGCCATGAAGAAGCACAAAAAATAAGCCCACACCTTAGCATAGTCTAAACAATGGGCCTCTTTGGCAGCACAAAACGTACAAGTGCCAAAGTCCAGTAAGACTGGTCATAGGAGACTTGATAACAATGAACAAATGCTATATAGCAAAGCAAATGTAAATATATAAATATCCTAGGTGCTCATGCAGCAATCACATACAGTGCCTTGAAAAAGCATTCATACCCCCTTGACATTTTCCACCTTTTGTCATGTTACAACCAAAAATGTAAATATATTTTATTGGGATTTTTGTGATAGACCAACACAAAGTGGCACATAATTGTGAAGTGGAAGGAAAACCATAAATGGTTTTCAACAATTTTTTACAAATATATGTGAAAAGTGTAGCGTGTATTTGTATTCAGGCCCCCTGAGTCAATACTTTGTAGAACCACCTTTCTCTGCAATTACAGCTGCAAGTCTTTTTGGGTATGTCTCTACCAGCTTTGCACATCTAGTGGGTGACATTTTTTCTCATTCTTCTTTGCATAATAGCTCAAGCTCTGTCAGATTGGATGGAGAGCGTCTGTGAACAGCAATTTTCAAGTCTTGCTACAGATTCTCAATTGGATTTAGGTCTGAACTTTGACTGGGCCATTCTAACACATGAATATGCTTTGATCTAAACCATTCCATTGTAGCTCTGGCTGTATGTTTAGAGTCGTTGTCCTACTGGAAGGTGAACCTCCACCCCAATCTCAAGTCTTTTGCAGACTCTAACAGGTTTTCTTCTAAGATTGACCTGCATTTGGCTCCATCCATCTTCCCATCAACTCTGACCAGCTTCCCTGTCCCTGGTGAAGAAAAGCATCCCCACAACATGATACTGCCACAACCATGTTTCACGGTGGGGATGGTGTGTTTAGGGTGATGTGCAGTGTTAGTTTTCCGCCACACATAGCGTTTTGCTTTTAGGGCAAAAAGTTCAATTTTGGTCTCATCTGAACAGAGCACCTTTTTCTACATGTTTGCTGTGTCCTCCACATGGCTTCTTGCAAACTGCAAATGGGACTTCTCATGGCTTTCTTCTTGCTACTCTTACATAAAGGCCAGATTTGTGGAGCGCACGACTAATAGTAGTCCTGTGGACAGATACTCCATCCTGAGCTGTGCAGGACCCTCCTATTCCTTCTGTACTGAAATACATTGCAATTGTACTATCTCACTTTATATTCTAAAGCACTGACAAACTGTTGGAGCTATATAAATCCTGTATAATAATAATAGAAATAATATTCTCTGTAGCTCCTCCAGAGTTACCATGTGCCCCTTGGCTGCTTCTCTGGTTAATGCTCTCTTTACCCGGCCTGTCAGTTTAGGTGGACGGCCATGTCTTGGTAGGTTTCCAGTTGTGCCATACTCTCTTCATTTTAGGATGATGAATTGAACAGTGCTCCATGGGATGTTCAAAGTTTGGGATATTTTTTTCTTTTTTTATAACCTAACCCTGCTTTAAACATCTCCACAACTTTATCCATGACCTGTCTAGTGTGTTCTTTTGCCTTCATGATGCTGTTTGTTCACTAAAGTTCTCTAACAAACCTCTGAGGGCTTCCCAGAACAGCTGTACTAATACGGAGATTAAATTACACACAGGTGGACTCTATTTACTAGTTAGGTGACTTCTGAAGGCAATTGGTTCCACTAGATTTTAGTTAGGGGTATCAGAGTACACTTTTCAGATATTTGTAAAACAATTTTAAACCATTTATCATTTTCCTTCCACTTCACAATTATGTGCCACTTTGTGTTGGTCTATCACATAAACTACCAACGAAAAAAAAAATTTGAGTTTTTGGTTGTAACATGACAAAATGTGGAAAATTTCAAGGGGCACTGTAATTTTTCATAACAATACAGACAGAATTGAAAATTTATAGCATGTAATATAAAGTGAATACATGGTTGGCTGCACAAAAATATATATATATATATATATATATATAAAAAAATTAAAGCGCAAAAAACAGCAAAACAGTGCGTGTGAAAACGCAAAGCACAATGCAAAAAGCATTTAAGAAAAACGGAACAAAAGCATTAGGTGTGAACCGAGACTGTTTTAGCATTTGGCTCTTACTGACCTCAGTGGAATTTGGATTTGAATTGTAATGTAATGTTGACCAAATCCGCCATGAACTGACCCCATCGGCTCATCCTTAGTGACCAGGAAGGGTACCAGCTGCTAGTTCTGGTTGAGGATATTTATCACTGTATTGTCAGAACAGGCATACAGTAGTGTTGAGAAATGCTCAGGGTTGTTGAAGGTAAGGCGTTGAATATTTTAAGTAAAATGTATAAATTTAGAGCACTATTTTGGTATAGACCTTCATATCAATTATAAAAAAGGGATAAATCTGTTTTTGAAGGCAAACGCCTTAAAAAAAAAAAAAAAGAAAAGCTTGGTAGTTAAATATAAGCAACTTTTCATCAAATCAATCCAAATATGACTACATCTCTTCTGACCTTGTGATATTCTGAAAATACCTGTACTGACAGTTAATAGGTTCAGCAATTTCTCAAAGTGAGATAAGAAAGCACTAACATATCCACACAGCAGCCGCACAAATCAGTTTTCGCCACATTTTCCACTATGATAATGTACCAATTAAAAAGTTACAGGGAACATAATATATTAATATCATTATAATACAGATAAAGAAAGAGATTAACAAATGCAAGGTTGCTTGAAATGTAAGATTTGTATACTCCAATAATCGTGTTACAGAACAATTGAGCTAGTGGATTAATGTAATTTATCAAACAGATATTGTAAAGCAATGCCTGGAGACAAAAATAAATGTTTTCTCAGTGCCCAAAAATAGGCGCACATTCCAGATGATTGCTATAACTAATGAAAGTAAAACACGCCTGAAATACTGATCTCAGACAGGTACCACAGACTAGATCAGTTTTATTAAAAACAAATCCTTCCAATTTTAGTTGAATTTGGGTTGAAAGCCCCCCTTTGTCTTCACAGTAATTTTGCAATTAATACCAGAATTTACTCAATTAATTTGGATTATAATATACATCCAACATGAAGAGCAGGGTGTACAGCACACCAAATTGCTCATCTGGAACGTTTTATTGATCGCATAACAAGAGGAGACATTTTGAACCTGAATAAGAATTCCTTCATCATGCAACAATGCTCTGTATTGTCTGCCTTCAGTAAAATTGGGCAATGGCTGTTATACCTAAGAGTACAAGCAAGCTACTGCTTATAATCCTATTGGACAATAAGAAGAAAAATGGAAACTAATCCGAAAGGTCAGGATGGTTCCACAGGTACCTCTGTGTTCCCTCTCAAACTCCAATTACCAGCACGTGGGTAATCCAGTTGTGTATGGGTGTATGAAAACTTCTGCTAACCATGCCCACATGTCCAACCACCCTCTTCAGACAGCATGATCTGTAATACTCCCATCACTATTCTGAAAATGCTGGTAATACACCTTTATTTTCTAAAATATGACAGATCTTGCCCTCAGCACAAAATCGTGCCACAAGGTAGGTCGCTGATCTGGAGAAAATTACCAGCAAATAAAAATCAATAACTTAGGAACAGAATAACGAAGACTAACAGAAGAGACAGATGCTGAAAAAACTATGGAAATAAAAGTTTTACTCCCAGAAAATGCAATGTAGCAATTTTTAAGATTCTGTTACGGTTACTGACAATGGTGTAACAGATCCTATTGAAACCAAAAAATAAATAAAAGACCGAGAAATTGTTAGCAAATGCTATAAGTGTGGACATGTTGTCTTTTACTTTGTACACTTAGGGCCATTGCTTCCTCTAAGCAGACTAGGCAGCACTGCCACCTAGGGGCACCTGGGCGCAGCACAGGCCGGCACTCTGTTTCGCATGCCGCCATGTCATGAATGATCTTTCAGCTGAGGGCAGGGCGGCAGAGGGGAGAAAGAATGGGCAGAGAAAGCTGCTGGGTGTCTGAGGCCTGTGTAGCAGCTGAGCTGCCCCTGCTTCCAGTGTTCCTCACAGACTCAGTCCCTTACTGCAAGCCAGCTGGTGGCTGCTGACCACTGTGGAGTTCCAGCCCTTCGCTTCCATTCATCAGTGGAAGTAGAGCTGCGCCTGTGGAGGAAGGTAATATCTGACTCGTGTGTGTGTGCGCGTGCGAGTGTGACCCGGCATGGCCATCCATCACATGTGCAATGTGTCCGTGAGTGATGACATCATCATGATCCCACAGCCTGCTCTTCTAGTGCCTGATGATCTGTGTCAGTGTTGGTGTGTTGTATTGGATCTGTCACTGTGTAGGATTGCTCAGTGCAAGTTTTCCCTGTGTGTGTGCAAGCTGTGCTACCTCTGCTGTCACAGCGTTTTATCCCCCCCCCCCCCCCCCCATTGCCTGGGGAATTCCAGCCTGGAATCTGTCAAGAGTGTGGATCCATCATCCTCCACTCAATGCAACTGTCACCCAGCCACTGCCAGTCACAGATACAGTCCTTCCGTGACACAGATTTCGTCTTTGACATTAGTGCTGGTGGCATCTTATGGCACTTTTGCAAATTAAAAAAAAATTTTGCAGTTTCATGTTTTATTGATTTCATATGTTCTACAGTTTAAAAAAAAATTTAAATTAAAAATGAGCTGGTCTTGCCTAGGGTGCAAAATAGTCTAGCATCGGCCCTGTGTACACTGAAAATGGTTTGTGCTCAGCAATCCCTCCCAGTCTAGGGGAGTGAAAGCCAGGAAAATAAACTGGTCTTCAAACAAGGGAAACTCTGTATCTGTGTCTTTTATAGGCAGGTTACACATTTACAATTTGCATGCTGCAAGTTCAGTAAAGATGAACAGGTCAGGACTGCCAGATCTGTTTAAAAATATGATTTCTTTCATTTTCAGTTATGGGATCTGTTCCATAAACGATTTATGATTTATTCAGTTGATATTTTTAAAGTGTAAAATTTCTGTAACTGAGCTGACTTGTTTCATTGAGGATATCTCCCGGGAGGACTGAATCATAGAAGATAAATTACATGTGTAAAATTCTGAATAAAACACTTGATTAGTGTTGTTCAGTTCAGTTACATGTTCTAGATTGGTATGGAAAGCATGACTTATTACAGATTGCAGCAAAACAGTACTTCATCCTAGAAAAACTGATGCATCGCAAATTATGCCACAAGTTACAACATATGATATAGCTGCTATCCATAGCACATCAAATCACGCATAATTGGTTAAAAAAAATATGCATGTCCATCAAAGTTCAACCTTACTGTGAACAGAACACATCCACCAAATTGCATGGACTAATATTACCAGTAAAGAGAAGGCACCAAACGTCTGTGCTTGCCTTCAGATCAGTCTTTTTCACCTCCCTTGGGAAAGGTGGATTCTAATTTCAAGGAAAAGCATCTCCCTGTATGAAGCCTGGCCTAGTATTTATGGTTCTCCCTAAAAACTAATATTACAAAACGACAGGTATTGGCAGCCACAATACTAGCAACATTGTTTTCTCTTTACACTTATTTGTGGAATTGACAGGTTCACATTAAACATAAAAATTAACTTGTTTATTCAGTCAAGTTGCTATTCAGCAGGGTGAACAACTCCAGTTCTGGGAGGCTAGGGCCATACATTGTTTTTAGGATTCCTCTAACTGGTAAATTATCATGTACCATCTACAGCACACTAAGCAGATTTCTCTTTATCCAATTATTTCAACGTTTACCTAGCCTTCACCATCTGGAGTGTGTGTGTACGTCCTTCTCTAGAGCTTTTCAAGCTAAGATGATGGAAAACAGTTATTGGTTTACTAATCACATGGAAAACTACAACAACTTCTACAGGCAAGCATATTGAATAAAAACATGTTATGCAGACTTATAAAAGAGTTCTAATCCTACCGAGACATCCAATATTTCCATCCAGACCTATATAGTTGAGGTCAGCTTTCGCTGCTTGTTGGTCTCGTTCATCTTCCTGTGACCAGTCTCGGAGATCAAAAATGGTCTTTTGGCGATATGCCGCATTGGAGTCAAAATTTATTTTTGCATCCATGCACATAACTGGTTAAAAAGAAAGAAAGAAAAAAGACATTTGACAAATAAAATTAATTCTTAAAATGTAAAACCAGCTACACAGATAAACATACAACCCCTGGCAAAAAGTATGGAATCACCACTCTTGGAAAATGTTCATTCAATTGTTTAATTGTGTAGAAACAAAAAAAAAAAAATATATATATCACAGACATGCCTCAAAACGATTTTCATTTAACATTCCAAACTTCTGACTTTAAGAAACAATTAAAAACATTAAAAAAGGAAAACTGTAGTCAATTGTTTTTGCAGATCAAGCAGAGTAAAAAAATATAAAATCACTCAATTCTGAGGAAAATATTATGGAATCACCATGTACTTTGCAGTTCTAAAACAAACATCTGCACCCGATTACATTTGCTAATTAATCTGCAGGTAAAAAAAAAAAAGTGCTTGCACACCTTGGTGAGCTGTTGCACCAAGCTGATTAACATGAATCATGGCTGCAACACGAGTGATGTCAGTTGAAACAAAGGAAAGGATTATAAAACTTCTGAAAGAAGGTAAATCATCACGGAATGTTGCAAAAGATGTTGGTTGTTCCCAGTCAGCTTTATCTAAAATCTGGACCAAGTACAAATCAAATGGGAAGGTTGTAAAAGGAAAGTGTACTGGTAGACCAAGGAAGACATCAAAACATCAAAACAGAAAATTTAAAAGCAATATGCCTTGAAAAAAGAAAAAGCACAACAAAACAAATGAAGAACAAATGGACAGAAACTGGAGTCTGTGGCTGAACTGTAAGATATCATAAGAAATGGGATTTACATACAGAAAAGCAAAAAACAAAAACCATAAGTAACACCCAAACAGAGAAAAACAAGGCTATAGTGGGCTAAAGAAAAGCCATCATGGACTCTGGATTCAGTGATGAATCACGAATCTGCATTGGGCAGGGTGATGATGCTGGAACTTTTGTTTGGTGCCGTTCCAATGAAATGTATAAAGACGACTGCCTGAAGAAAGCATGCAAATTTCCACAATCATTGTTGATATGGGGTTGCATGTCAGGTAAAGGATGTTTGGCGATGACGACATTTTTCAGGATGGTACTGCATCTTGCCATAGGGCAAAAGCTGTGAAAACTTTCCTTAAAGAAAGACATATAATGTCAATGTCATGGCCTGCAAATAGTCCGGACCTCAATCCAATTGAAAATCTATGGTGGAAATTAACCACTTGCCATCCGCCTGCTATTTATAAACGGCAGGGCGGTGGCAGTCCAGGGGCGGGTTGCCGTTCATAAACGGCACCCGCCTTTTCTAGCTGTGCGCTCTCCCTGGGAGCGCGCGCAGCACCGTGATCAGGTGCCCACTGTGTCCTCCAGACACAGTGAAACACCGATCGTCGGACGGGACCTCTGTACGAGGTCCCGATCATGTGATCACTGATTGACCAATCAGTGATCACATGCAAAGTAGTAAGCCAGATGTCACTTGTGACATCATTGCTTACTACGTGTGAAATCTGTGAATGATCACAGAGGTCACATGGTACAAGGCTATTCACGACAGCCTTGTACCATGTGACAAGCTGTGACCAATCACAGCTCACTCAGTACTTCTCAATGAGTGCAAGAATGACACTCATACTGATCATCATGCAAGAAAGACACTGTACTGCTAGGGTGACAGTATGTAAAAAAAAATAAAAAAATAAAAAAATATTATAAAAAAATAAAATAAAAATGTAAAAAAAAAGGTTTAAAAATTATAATAATTTTGGTTTATAAACTAATTGGGATTTTTTTTTTTTTACTAAAAAAAAAAAAAAAAAAAAAAAAAACGGAATAAATTTTGGCCAAGATTTATGATGAAATATTATTTATTTGCAAAATTTTATTAAAAAAAAAAAAAAAAAACTTTTTTCAAAATTTTTGGACTTTTTCATTTACATAGCAATAAAAATCCCAGCGGTGAATAAATACCACCAAAATAAAGCTTTATTTGTCTCAAAAAAATGGTAAAAAATTCATATGGGTACAGTATTGCATGACCGCGCAATTGTCATTCAAAGTGTGATAGCGCTGAAAGCTGAAAATTGCCCTGGACAGGAAGGGGGTAAAAGTGTCCGGACAGGAAGTGGTTAAAGAAAATGGTCCATGACAAGGCTCCAACCTGCAAAGCTGATCTGGCAACTGCAATAAAAGAAAGTTGGAGCTGGATGGATGAAGAACACTGTTTGTCGATAGTTACATCCATGCCTCAGAGAATTCAAGCCGTTATAAAAGCCAGAGGTGGTGAAACAAAGTACTAATGGTGTACTATAATATTTATTTCATGATTCCATAAGATTTTCCTCAGAATTGACCGATTCCATATTTTTTTTTCTCTGCTTGTTCTGCAAAAACAGGTGCAACTAACTACGGTTTTCTTTTTTCTTTAAGTGTTTCTTAAAGACAGAAGGTTGGAATGTCAAATAGAAATAGTTTTGAGGCATGTGTGTGATTATTTTTTTTTCTACACAAACAATTGAATGAACATTTTCCAAGAGTGGCGATTCCATACTTTTTGCCAGGGGGTTGTAGGAATGCATGCACGTGTACTGTTTTCTGACATGGGAATCATAATTCTGTTCACTGACCCTTATGGTTTATAAAGCCCTGTCACAGTGTTTAACCAATAAGATTGCACCACCGTTCCAAGTCTGTAACTTCCAATTTCACCAGCCCACCAACAGCTTCCAAATTACTTTATGTTTAATGTGTAGGTACACATCAGAATAGCATTCAAATCTGACTATGTATCATACATTTAGGGTACAGTTGGAGCACTCAAAACGCTTGTGGAGTTCCTATGCAAATAGTTCTGCAAAAGTCCCTATTTGTATAGGCCCACCCCATATGGCAATGAATGTGCCTGAGGATAGGCAACAATCATTGAGGCAGGAGAGGGATTGCATATTCTACTATAGACACCAATTTTAAAAGGTATGCTCTGCCCTTAAGGGTGTCTGCTATTTACCAGCAGCCTAGTTCAACTAAATTTACAACAACGCAGGTTTAATTCACAATCTTCTTGGACTCTTTTAAATACATCACAGTTATATGTATCCTAATAACAGTGCAAGATGAAGAATGTTTTACTAGGAAGAAAAAAAAAAATAAATAATAATAATATCGGCAGAAGCATAAAAATAAAAAGTTAACAAACAGTGCAGGGTTTAACAAAGTAAGCACTTATTTTAGCGAGGCATGTCATCTTTATGTAGCTCTATGCGATGCAAAGGAAAGTGACATGACTTCAAGAGCAATAAGTGCCCCCAGCACGACCCTTGTCAACAGTGTGGCATGTGAGTACATCACAACAGGTAAGCCACATTTATAACCATGATCATAAAGGACAATCTGCAAGAAGTCAAAATCCAGAAGCAAAGGCTGATAAGTGAATAAAAAAATATTTCTGCAAAAGAAAGGAAAGGCATGCAAACCAATAGGCTGAAGAAATGAAGCAAAGAAAAATGGACAAAGCAAAGTAGTCAAAATTAGGATTAGGAAAACAAGGATCTAACAGCTGAAAACATAAGGGGATCTACACTCAAATGCCAACTTAAGTGTATGTAAACCCCAACAATGGACGTCTATTAATTGCTTTATAAGTGCAAAAACAAAATCTGTTGATCAGAAATTCAGACCTATCCCTCTGACCCCTGTAGACTTCCTAGTTAATATCTTGGAGTACAAAATGATTAGCCTTTATGTTGTTGAGATCCGAGAGTAGGAGTGGCTGAGCAGTTTAGAAAAAGACAATGGGAAGAATGGAGAACACCCAGTCAACAAAAATGCTGTGAACTTGTCAACCTACAACAGGACATAGCAGTTGACAGCATTTTCTAACATATCAACGGATATTTTTTTGTAAATGTGTATGTATGGCAAGGATGTACTACTTGTTTTTTTTTTTCTTTACATACACTTTAAATCTGTGTTTACAGTGTTAAGCTATTGAGTAAATACAAAGTAAAAGAATGACCAAATCACTTTTTCAGCAAAAAAAAATCTGTTCTAGGCTCCCTACAGTGCTGGTCATCCAAACCATAGCCTTGGCTTTTGATCACATGAATGGATAGATTAGCCAACATGAACACTGATCTCTCAGCTTCAACAGATCTTGGGGGTCACTGCACAGGTAGAATTTTTTTTAACTGTTAGAAATGGGCTTTAACGTTATAGAACATGTAACGAAGTGTATTTCTATTGAAGGGCCAGGAATATGAGTAAACTGGAACTACAGTCAGGTCCATAAATATTGGGACATCGACACAATTCTAACATTTTTGGCTCTATACACCACCACAATGGTTTTGAAATAAACTAACAAGATGTGCTTTAACTGCAGACTGTCAGCTTTAATTTGAGGGTATTTACATCCAAATCAGGTGAACGGTGTAGGAATTACAACAGTTTGCATATGTGCCTCCCACTTGTTAAGGGACCAAAAGTAATGGGACAATTGGCTTCTTAGCTGTTCCATGGCCAGGGTGTGTGTTATTCCCTCATTATCCCAATTACAATGAGCAGATTAAATGGTCCAGAGTTCATTTCAAGTGTGCGATTTGCTTTGGAATCTGTTGCTGTCAACTCTCAAGATGAGATCCAAAGAGCTGTCACTATCAGTGAAGCAAGCCATCATTAGGCTGAAAAAAACAAAACAAACCCATCAGAGAGATAGCAAAAACATTAGGCGTGGCCAAAACTGTTTGGAACATTCTTAAAAAGAAGGAACGCACCGGTGAGCTCAGCAACACCAAAAGACCCGGAAGACCACGGAAAACAACTGTGGTGGATGACAGGAAGAATTCTTTCCCTGGTGAAGAAATCACCCTTCACAACATTTGGGCCAGATCAAGAACACTCTCCAGGAGGTAGGTGTATGTGTGTCAAAGTCAACAATCAAGAGAAGACTTCACCAGAGTGAATACAGAGGGTTCACCACAAGATTTAAACCATTGGTGAGCCTCAAAAACAG